AGGCAGGCAGGAAGGAAGGAAGGAAGGAGGGAGGGAGGGAAGAAGAGAAGGAGGGAAGGAGGGAAGGAAGGAGGGAGAGAGGGAAGGAAGGAAGGGAAGGAAGGAGGAAAGGAAGGAAGGAGGGAAGGAGGGAGGGAGGGAAGGAGAGAAAGAGGGAAGGAGGGAAGGAGGGAGAGAGGGAAGGAAGGAGGAAAGGAGGGAAGGAGGGAAGGAAGGAAGGAGGGAAGGAAGGAGAGAGGGAAGGAGGAGGCCCTTAGAAATGCTGGCTTCGTTGCCTGTGTGGTTGCTGTGTATGGTGTGGGGAAGAGGAGGCCACAGTATAATAAAGCACACAAAATATGTTTCACACACACAATCTTGTGTGGTCACCATCCCCAAAACATGGCTTTCTAACCCCCAGAAGGCCTTTCCATCCTGCAACTCTGCGACTCTGCTTCTCATCAGTGACCGGCTCTGTCTGACCTAGAATCAACCTGTGCAGGCCTCGCCTGTGTCTGAGTTCTTGTTAGTGGTTTAGTGTGGTTTTTCTTCTACTGTGTTAAACCTCTGTAGATATTGGGATGAGCAGATGGATGGATGGATGGATGGATGGATGGATGGACGGATGGAGATGGAAGTGAGGGTCTCTGTGACCAAGGGTAGGCCAAGGCCCTGTGGCCACAGAGCTGGAAAGGGAGTTGGGTCACAAAGGGGAGCAGAGGAGCAGCTGTGATGGTGACCTGGGCCACACTGCCAGGATGGACAGATGCTGTGTGCTGCCCGCCCAGCCCCGGCCCCGGCCGAGCCTTCAAAAACGCAAGCCTTGGGGGCTGGGAAGGGGGCTCCATGGTACAGCGCTTGCCTGGCATGCATGAAGCCCTGGGTTCGATTCCTCAGCAACACAGACGCAGAAAAAGCTGGATGTGGCACAGTGGCTCAAGTGGTAGAGCGCTAGCCTAGAGTTGAAGAGCTGAGGGACAGCGCCCAGGCCCTGAGTTCGAGCCTCATGACCGACAAAAAAAAACCAAAAAAAAAAAAAACAAAGCAAGCCTTGGCCAGCGGCTGGAGAGCAGTCCTTGTGGACTGTGAGTCCGAAGCCTGTCCAGCCGTCCCGGGCTTCCGGACCCAAGCAGCTGTGAGAGCGTGGACACCAGCAGCTGCTTCAAGCTGCTAATGTTGCAAACCTGTTACACAGCAGCCACTAGCTGCTACAAGATTCCAAAGGCCGCCCCGGCCTAAGCCAGCTTTGCTCTAAGCCCGTGAGGGGACTCAGCGCCAGCCCTCCCCAGCCTCCTCCTCTGCAGCCCC